TTATAAATTAATACACGATAACCTTCGCACGAATATCTGGCGGTTGGCTCTTTACGCTCCTATCAAATTTATTGATTATAAATAATATTTTCTATTTAATCAAACTAATAAGATGCAAATATAGAAACTAGTAAAATAAATGGAGGACAATTTATATCGCGTTTGTAACATTAATCTATTCATGCAGTTAGTGTTACAACCCAGACAAAAAGTTCCATAAAAACAAAGTTATCATACGCGATAGTAAAATCAAAAATTTTAATTCCTCCGTAAGAAACGATAATAGTAATACGAGGACGATAATGCACAGTAATGTCTCGTTAGATAACGAGCAACTCTTCGTTAGATAACGTTAATAACCAGAAAGGATATATTTCAAAAGTTAAAACAGATCAATTTTATTGATAATAAGTTTTAATTATTTCTATTTATATTATTTTGCAGAAAAATCATTAAATTATGTTAATTAAATTTAAAATGAAAACATTATATATAATTTATATAACATTTAATAGTAACATTAATTTATGTAACATTTAATTCAATGTATCATTTTATGTAACATTTAAGGCTCATCTACAATGTGCTCTTTGCTTCCTGTTTTTTGCTTTTTGTCTGTTATCTTTTTGCCTCTTTGAGCACTGTTTTACCGATAATCATGTTTCTTGTCATGTGTTTCTTGTTTCTTACGAAGTTCGTCAACTTTTATCTCGAGCGACAGAAAACAAAGAAACATCGTATGACAACAATGGTATCGAACATTTATTTATTTTATTCAATCGATATTCATAGTTTATACATTAAAATTATCCTAAAATATTACCTTAAACATCATTAGTCAATAAGAGTGCTGTTGAATATTGATCTATGATTAATCAATGTGAAATAACATTTTTCTTCGGAAGTTCAGAAGAAACAAATTGTACATGACAATGTTTCACAGTTCCATATGACAAAAGTACAAGAAACAAACAACAAAAAGCAGAAGGCACGAAACAAGACGCAAAAAGCACATTGTAGATGAGCCTTTAATGTCATTTCCCACACAGCACAAAACATCCTATGACATCTTAGGGATATATTCTACTACTACTACTAACTACTA